GTGATGAAAATGAAATTTGGATGGGTCCTCATGGCGTCATGTTTCAAGAGTCAAATCAGAACAGATGCAACTATCCCATTGACCTTTGTGGAGTTTGGCGCAGTCATGTACATAGTCTCTAAAAACGGGGCAACACAATCATGCTTCTGACCATAGCAAGAAGTTGAGAGAGAAAACATTTTCTCCGAAATAAAGATAGATAACAAAGACGACTAGGAGATAGAAGAAGATCAGAGGGCTCGTCAAAAATGCAAGTTGGAAATTATGAGTTGCTACACGGGTATATAAAGCAGATCCTGAAAAGAAATGATCAAGTATAAGAAGACTAAGTTCACCACTTTGAAGTCAAATTAAGATGGAATCGGCATTTATGCATTCATGAGAACATCATTTGCATAAAAGAATATGCATTACACTAATACATTTAATTGCATTTGTGTTCGTGTTTCATGCATAAACACATGGTTTTGACAGATCTTCCAGTGAAAAGAGAAGATGCATGATGTCAGAAGCCCGACAAGTCGAAAGGAAGATTTCAAACCTCAAACGCAAGAAATCACGTTTAGAGAGGCATACCCTGAAGAATTAAGAGGTCTAATCCACAGAAGAAGCATTACTCTAAAGTGATAACCATCAGATATAGAAGAAAAACATAGATGTTCGCGTATGAAAAGAGAAATCACTCGATTAAAGTGACTTGTACATAGAAGATTGGGGCAAAGCCAAGTCTTCACCAAAGAGTAGTGAAGCAAATCCATTTTGAGCCTTCACTAAAGAGTAGTGAAGCAAACCATCTTAAGCCTTCATCGAAGAGTAGTGAAGCATATCTTTTTAAACCTTCTCGGAAGAGTGTTGGAGCAAACCATCAGACTATCAGATGTAGGAGAAAAAGCAAATTTCTCGAGTACAAAGAAAAAGAAACGCGCGCGAGGAGTTATTAACCGATTCAATGTCCCAGGAAGGGATGGGTTCAAATGACAGTCAAGTCAAGGAAGACTCTCGCATTTAGTTACGGCGAGACAAGCTCTCACAAGAGAAATGAATTCGAAAATATTCTCTTAAATTCTAAATTTTTGAGTATAATGATTTTCAAATTTTCAAGCACACATTAATGATTGATAATGTTTGATTTTCAGGGTCGACCTTCGAAGCAAATCAAACTTAAGTCTTTACGAGAGAGTAGTGAAGCAAATCATCTAGAAGTCTTCACAGGAAAGTAGTAAAGCAGAAGAAGATGTTCGAGTTCCATACTCCCTAGATAAAGAGGGAGTGAATCCGTAAGAAATATTCGAGTTCCATACTCCCTAGAGAAAGAGGGCGAACCCGTAAGAAAAGATATTCGAGTTCCATACTCCCTAGAGAAAGAGGGAGCGAACCTGTAAGAAGAATATGTTTGAGTTCCATACTCCCTAGAGAAAGAGGGAGTGAACCCGTAAGAAGAAGATGCTCGAGTTCCATACTCCCTAGAGAAAGAGGGAGCGAACCCGTAAGAAGAAGATATTCGAGTTCCATACTCCCTAGAGAAAGAGGGAGCGAACCTGTAAGAAGAATATGTTCGAGTTCCATACTCCCTAGAGAAAGAGGGAGCGAACCCGTAAGAAGAAGATATTCGAGTTCCATACTCCCTAGAGAAAGAGGGAGCGAATCTGTAAGAAGAAGATATTCGAGTTCCATACTCCCTAGAGAAAGAGGGCGAACCCGTAAGAAGAAGATGCTCGTTCCATACTCCTTAGAGAAAGAGGGAGCAAATGCGTAAGAAGATGTTCGAGTTTCATACTCCCTAGATAAAGAGGGAGCGAACCCGTAAGAAGAAGATGTTTGAGTTCCATACTCTCTGAAGGAATAGGGAGCGGACACGTTTGTTGAAGATCGAGTCCTATACTCTCTGAAGGAATAGGAAGCGGACACGTTTATTGAAGATCGAGTCTTATACTCTCTGAAGGAATAGGGAGCAGACCCGTTTGTTGAAGATTGTTCGAGTTCTATACTCTCTGAAGGAATAGAGAGTGAACCCGTTTGTTGAAGATTGTTCAAGTTCTATACTCTCTGAAGGAATAGAGAGCGAACCTGTTTATTGAAGATTTTTCGAGTTCTATACTCTCTGAAGGAATACAGAGCGGACCCGTTTTATTGAAGATTGTTCAAGTCTTATACTCTCTGAATGAATAGGGAGCAGACACGTTTATGAAGATTGTTCGAGTTTTATACTTCCTGAAGGAATAGAGAGCAGGCTCGTCATTTGAAGATTTTTCAAGTCTCATTTATCCCGACGTAACAGTGAGTGGTTTAATCTTTTGAAGTTCTCATTACCGGACAAATTCGATCATCTTTTGATCTTTGCTCTATTCTCGTTATACGACAATGAGCAAAGAGGGGCAGTTGTAGATGCTCGATTTCATCCGGGGACTGCATCGGAGGCTTCGTATCCAGTACACGATACAAATTTGGACTAGTATGAGCCCAAATCAGCCCAATAGATAACAGCTACAGGCAGAGAAAAATAGAGAAGTTAACGTTGGTTTTTGACAGTTTTGTAAGTGGGGAGGGATATCAGCAATTGAACACCACAACGAAGAGAGGACAAAGGCAGAAGAGAAAAAAAAGAAAAAAATGATCTGGAGAAACAAGAGAGTATACTGTAAATCCACTCTCGGACATTCAAAATAAAGGGCAAATTTAAAGGGGTTCTTCCCCATTTTCTAAAAGAGAACGAAGTAAAAGAAACAAAAAAGGATCATTCGAGTGAAGGGAATAGGAGAGATACATTGTAAAAAACAGGGGGTTTCCCCTTCGTTCTTGTAAGCAGAGAGTTCGAAAATAAATAGAAAAGAAGCAGTTTCTTCTTCCTGGTACATTTGTTTTTTCAGCAATACAATCAATACATTACAGAGATTTTTTAAGGTACATAATACTTCTTTGTTCCTCTTTCTTTCTTGCAATCGAAAAGCATAGATAGATAGGGAGTTGAGATTTTACCTTAACGATGCAAGCTCTCATGGCTGGAGCGGTAGACATGGTTGTTTCTTAATTAGTGATCAAAAATAAGCGAGTAGTAAACATAACAACCCAAAAAGAAAAATCCATCAAAACCCAAGAGAAAATATAAAGGGAAAAAGGGGAAAATCTAAGGGAAACCTTACCTCTTCTGCGATAACAGCCTTTGTGCCTTCATCAAAGGAAGTAAACGTCTTCAACAGTTGAAGGTAACGCTCTTATAGTATCTCGGTTGGGGTTGTTTGGGTTTGTAGAATCTGTGTTTATTTGTGGGTTGTAAGGCCCGAAGAGGGATGATTTAGAGACTACGTTTGAAATAGAGTTGTATAGTAGTCACTCGGCTCCTCGTCGGAGCCGGAGAGTGACGAGGAAGGGCTATGAGTGGCTTTCTCGTTTAATAAAAAGAAAGAGAGTGAGATGAAGAACTTGAGTGACTGAAAGTTGAGGACGGAAGAAAAAACAGGGTTGTTTAGGATTCTTATAGAGCTTTTAGTGGTCGGAGTGGAGTGTAGTAACCACCAGGGAGGCTGTTGGTGTCATGAGTGTGAAAACCTTGAACTTTTCGGCTGTGCAAATGAAAAGGAGAGTGACGATGAAAGCCTGAGCAGCAGTGGAGAAGGAGAGTTAACGTAATGGGATATTATGGTTAAAATCAAGTTTAAACCATGTTTGTTAAAGCCAAACGTTTCTGATTTTAGCAAATATAGGCCAAGTTGTTTTCTTTTGTTATTGGGCTTATTAAGTGAGGGATCAATTCAATTTTGAGGTTAATGCAAGTTGGTTCTCAGTTTGAGGTCTTTCTAATTTTTGATTTAGTTTCTTTATTTTACATGCATTTTAATCTCGTAAGTGTATTTATTTCATTTGTTTGTCATTTAGCATGGTGGTCCATTTTAAATACGTATACGTACAGAAATATATGCATGGGTTTGTTTGTGCTTAAATTATTTAGATACGTATTATATATATGTATAAATGCATTTGTTTTTAAAATCCTGTGAACTATGAATAGTGGGATATATGAGCATTGGTATGTTAACACATATTTTGCACATAATTTTGGGATGTATGTTTACATGCATGTACGTACTTTGCTTTTTATTTATTTATTTAGTATTGGTAGTATTTATATAATGTATTCTTGTTGTTTTTCAAATATCTTTATTATTTTAATTGGTGTAAAACCATGTAGATTTAATTGCATGTATCTTTAATTTCCGATGTATGAAACCTCATTTGCATAACTCGACATAATACATAATTAGACTAAGGGTAATATGCTTTTAATTTAAAATTGTTTTAAGTGGACAATCATAACTGATTTGAGGTCCGCTTTTAATGATTTTAAATTAAAAGTGTATCCCGAAAGTGACGCCTAAAAATTGATCCATCAATCTAAAATTTGGGAACAAAAGAAAAGGGAATGTTCGTTTATTTAAATTTATCGAGGAAATGTTGTTATAACTTTTAAGATCTGGTATCGATATTTGTAAATAATCGAACATTCTGTATCTATCTAAAACGACTCGGTAATTTCAATTTAATTTATTTGAGTGCTTTTGAATGTTTTAAATTTACATTTTTGTTTTATGAGATCAAAAATCAAATTAAATTGGAATTTGTAAAATTCATTGCAAAGACATTAATTAATCGATTAGGTACCGTTTTAGAGCGTTGTGGGGTGCTAATCCTTCTCCGCACGTAACCGACTCCCGAACTTGGATTTTGGTAACGCATACCTTAATTTGTCGTTTTAATTAAAATTAATTTTTATTTAAAATAACAAAACATTTTTGGGTGCCCAATCATACCCTAATCAAAGATTAGTGGCGACTCTTTGAACAATATTTTTTTAACGTAAAAAGAATTTCAAAATTTTCGAAACGAGAAGTTTTTAAATCGTATTTATTTTTAAATTAAAAATTAATTAAAAGAGATAAATTAAAAATTAACGTGGTTTTCAAAATATCCCTTTTTACCCTAAAAGAAAAAATCGTCTCGACAAAATGAAAATAGATCGTCTCAAGAAATACGAGTATTGTCTTCCGTGTGAGTTCTCTAGATATCTCTGTATGTTAAATTGCTGGATTATGCATTTGCTTCGCATATCTGCTGTTTATTCTGATGACTTGTCATTTGTCAAAGAGAGAACTGTGAGAAAAAGAAGGGAAAAAACCTTATTTATCGCAATTTTGTTTGTTCTGTCGCCATTGACAGATTTCTATCAGCCTTTGAAGGAAGACGAGCTTGAGCAAAGCACTGAGGTTCAAATAATTTTTCCAGCAGAACCGAAGCCGGTAAGTTTTTTGTATTTTCTGAGAAAATTAATTCTGACCTGATTTTATGGATATTAAAATTGTTTATATGCTGTAAAAAGTTTGTCGTAGAGATTGAGCTTACAATGCATTGGTAATGAAGTGTTGCATTTAGTGTAGTTGCAGGCACCATCTTAAGGTTTGTGGCAGAAATTAGGTGCTTGCATGAGTTAAGCAAAGAGTCAATTGCTAAAAAATCATGCCATAGACGTGCATTTGTACTTTTGGGGATGATCCACTTTTTTTTTAATCATGAACCGTCGATCTAATGAAAATATATCTTTCAAGATAAAAATTGAAAACAAAAAGGGAACTTGTTTGAGGTATGCATTGCACCTTAACATAGTATCTTGATTTGAGGGTTGTGGTAGAGTGTATTATGCCTTGACTACACAACATAAAACTATTTTTATTGGGATAAGTACTGAGGCCGTTACTCTGCAAAATATCATGTAAATTGATACATCCTTTCTGGTCTTGCAGGCTTTTTGTGAATTTGATTGGGAGTTGGACGAACTTGATGTAAGCCTTGACTCTTTCATCATACTATGCTATAGGTTAATTAGCGTGATCTTTTTGGTGATTTTTAAATTATGTGGATTGGTATCTTGGAATTTTCTTCAACAATCAGTTATTTATGCATTAGACTTTAGTCAATCATTTTACGTTTTTGTTGTTGCATTCTGTCGTCATAGGAATTACGTACTTAACTATATCTACCTATCTGCAGGAGTTTACTGATAAACTGATCGAGGCAGATGAATTAGATAAAGATCAGAATGATTCTTTTAAGGTGAATCTGAATTTGAAGACCTATCAGTATCCTGTGGATTTTATGTATGATATCAACTGCTAGTTCAAGCTGTGGCATGCATTTGGTTTTTAGGATTTTGTCAAAGAAAAAGTTCGTGAAGCGAAAAAAGCTAACCGGCAGGTATATTTGTAGGCAACATTGCTTCTTGATTTGGTTAGGGAACATGAATTTGGATAGGTTGATTCATTTGGCGAATTCCATTCTTATAGGCAAGAGAAGCTCGCAAAAAGGCCCTCGAAGAAATGAGCGAGGACACTAAAGCAGCATTCGAGAACATGAGATTTTATAAGTTCTACCCTGTTCGAAGACCGGATACACCCGATGTATCAAATGTTAAGGTAAGTGCTTTATATACGTTTTTCTGTTTTGAAAAATGGAATTACTTTCAAGTATACATTTTTTCGGGTTGCAGGCTCCTTTCATCAACAGGTATTATGGGAAGGCACATGAGATTCTCTAATGGAAATTCGACTTGATTCAAGAACCAGGATCCAATCTAGTTGAGGGATGCACTAAAGCCGGCTTCGCTTGTAAGAGTGTCGTGTAAAGCATTTGTATGTTACCCGGAAGTTATGGGAGCATGGCTCTGGTGCGCCCCATCACACTTATGTGTCTTAGGAGAAAGGTTTAAATTTACAGCTCCATAACTCTTAGATAATTAAAGCAGGCCCATTGCAGCACAATAACTTAGGCTCAATAACTAACAGGCATCCAACTACCGCCAAATTCTCAAGCCAAGACCGAGTAAAGCTAGCACAATATGCCCTTCAATGAACAGAAAAGAAAAAGAAACATAATTCGTCGAGTAACATAAAAATTACATTGCATTCATAATATTTAGGCACAATACATTGGCAATTTTACAACTTAGTCGTGTAACCAATAAACTATATAGTGCTGTCCGGCATACAGGAAAAACCAAACCAAAACTAGGAAATTCGACATGTTATGCCACAAATAAAACGGAATAAATCATCATGTCTATAGCTTCTTCAAAACCATGCCACCTTCCTCCTTTAGATACACTTCAATCTGTTCCAATGCCTGACAGAATCATACTGCCATTTAGCCAACATCTTAATCTGATAATACCAAGAATATATACGACAGAGAGAAAAAAAATACCCCGATTGCAATCTCTGTCGGGGTAAGATCTGATACATCTGTATAACCTAGTTTGCCTGCAATTTCTGAAAATTCGGAACACCAGTTTAAAGAAAAAATATCATCCAGATATAAACATGAGCACATCAAAATGAAGATACAAGGTGAATGCAACAGAGAAACAAAGGAAGGAAAGATAAAGCCATCACACAATATCTCGTATCTTTGAAGAATGTAAGCAAGTTGGAAGTAACAAACATTAATGCACTTCAAGCAATCAGCTAACAGACGCTCGATCTCATCCAAGCATAACATAGACCGCTACGTATGAGAAGGGTTTAACTATGCATACCTTCCAATGAACCCGGGCATTTGCTTTAGCATAATTTTTACCCCTATGCTCCAGAAGTAAGATAGACGTTTTAAAGCCTGTAAAAAGGACAGAATGTAAAAGGGAAAAAAAACTACCAAGTGCACACAAGGAAAGCAAATTAAATCAGTAGCAGACTACCTTCGTATATGGATCACCATGTTCATAATGCAAAAGAGGACGAGAATGGGTACCTACAGCAGCAATCCTTCGTGCCAAGGCTTCCAAAGGTACATCTAACCAGACAATAATCCCCTTCTTCTGCATATAATCCCTGATAAACAAATAAAGAGTTTCAGACTTTTATGGTTGATGCAACAGAAAATTGAATCAATGGAGACAGGAAAATCAGTATTAATTAAATTCCCGTTTACCAGTTCTCATCCCTTACAACTGCACCTCCACCAGTAGAAACAACAAGCTGTTTCTTTGAAGAGAGCCTCTGCAATATCTCAGTCTTGTATACAGGAAGAACGTAAAAGATTCAGTTCAATTGGAAAAATGCATAATGTATCATAATTCACCACACATATTAACTGGTAAAGATAACTGACATCTGATAACAAACAGGTAGGAATAAACAAAGATCTTCATAAAAAAATTCTTAGAATAAGTGATGATAGAGACTCTATCAGTTAGCAATTTGTCATGTGTTTTTCTTTCAGAAATTTTCCATCTCTAGCCGTGCCCCCCCCCCTCTTTTATATTATTAATGAAAGTCAGCCAAAACCAACTTCTGAACATTGGTCAAATTTGGATATATGCATTAATCTTCTATAGTAAATGGCTTAATGGAAGGTTTCTACTGACAAAATAAGCTAATTTCATGCTTTCGACATGTTAAAAAATTAAAATAAGGTCTTCATTACAATGGAAACTCATATCATCCAATTCCACATGTGACTAGCAGCAAACATCCTACTTAAGTGATTAATATTAGTTAAAATCTTCAGCCATAGCACATAAAGGTAGACCACTCAGTTTTAGCTAAAAAAAACCCTCAAACCAACTCAATAAAATAAATAAATTTAAAATAAAAGGCATCATGCCAAAAAATTAAATTTAAACTAATAGGAGACTCAAACACTCAGATCCAGAAATATTGCCATGAAAAATTGCACAATCAACCCTCCAATTTTAGGAAAATAATGGCTTACTTCTCTACATGACTATCACACACGTAATTATTCAAATAACATGCAGTGAAGAAGTGAAAGCATATGTGTATACAGAAAGGGAGTTTTCTGACTTACCTCCATTTTTCTGAAGAAACTCTCCCCATGACGCTTAAATATTTCAGCTACAGACATTCCATTCACCTCCTGCTCTATTAATGCGTCACTGAAGATTGGATTTTTGTGAGACACAATAAAAGGCCAATTTAGCAGTCCATTACATTGGCAACAATCCAGGAAGGAGAACCACTTCTAATTTCAACCTAGATAAACCAAGTCCTTAAATTGTCGAGTCTAATCTGAACATACCAATGCCTAACTTATTCAATTAATGCATGATCCCATATCCATCCTTAGCTCTTGACGAAGACCACTAATTCCACACTACAAACTATAGAGGTCTATTTGCCACACAGAGGAAATAGGAAAGTTCAAGAAGAATGTTTCCATGGCTTCTGCATGTTATTTTTCTTCTTTCCCGTATCATGTTGGAGAATGAAAATTGCAACTATAGGACTCACAACTAAGAACTAACTAACAATTCACAGTACAAACCTGTCATAAAATGAATAACTAAGTTCGTGAGACAAAATTCTTCCCACTGTAGTTTTTCCAGAGCCCATTAATCCTGCACATTCATGTTCATAAAGTTTAGCTAGCAGAGAAAATAAGTCTTGACACTAAACTTTTAGGACCTGGAAAAAAAAACTGACCAACAAGATATATACGTGTCCATTTAAATAACGGCTCACCTCTAGTGACTTATTCGCAAATTTTATTCACATCGTGTAAGATACAGTGGCCAGAAGAAATCAGTACAAACCTGTCATAAAATGAATAACTAAGTTCGTGAGACAAAATTCTTCCCACTGTAGTTTTTCCAGAGCCCATTAATCCTGCACATTCATGTTCATAAAGTTTAGCTAGCAGAGAAAATAAGTCTTGACAACAAAACTTTTAGGACCTGGAAAAAAGAAACTGACCAACAAGATATATACTGTGTCCATTTAAATACGGCTCACCTCTAGTGACTTATTCTGCAAATTTTATTCACATCGTGTAAGATACAGTGGCCGAAGAAATCTGAGGCTTTAACTAAAAGCTATATATATTACCAGAAATAGATGCCAAAATACTAAATGGAAGAGATAAAAGATAGAAATAAAAAAGGAGGTATTTAATCACCATATCATACCTTATAAACAAAAAATTTAAAATAACTAGAGGGAATTGTATCATACCTTTAACATTAAAGATTCATCATAAGGTGCGTGGACGCTCCCAGTTTCCACAGTTGAAGCTACAAAATAACATTTTAAAACATACCATCATAGGGGATCAATCATATATTCATATGCATGGTAGAAGTTTAAAATTCTGAAGAACAGTTTAGCCACCAAGGCTTTGAGTTGTATTGCCCTCACTTTGGGTAATCTCAACATCAACATAAAATGTTAGTTTCATCCATTGTATGTTACAACAACATGAAATACAACAAAGATTAAATAGTAATACTTAGCAGAAAAGTGGGAGCATGAAAAAAAGGAGATTGACAACTGACAGAATGCAGAAAAAAAAAATGAATTACGATCTAAGGTCCAAGTCTTACAATACAAATAGTTATGTTAGCAAATTTAACATAACCTTGCAGCAAAATCTTTACATCAAAGAAAAAGGACTTCATCGTCAGCTCAATATTAATAAATTTAAAGTGGCATTCGTAAAGGTACCCAAATTTTCTTTCCTACCGATTTTACTAACAAGAATGAAAATAGCACCAAATGAACTTTCCTGAATCCCGACTGTTTTCCTTTAAAAATGGCCTTCTTTTATTTCAATTTGGCCCGTTTTAAGAAATCTAACGTATAATGAAAAAGGATTTAGAAACAGAGGGCTTTAATAATTGAATCAATTTTACAAGATATGATCAACTGAACTATAAAACTAGTATGCTAATTAATTTATATTCCGTTGAAATAAAATACCTGAAAAGTTGTTATAATAAGAGCAAGAAACCTCGAAAGAGACCGATCTCCGCCGATTAGAAGATGTCTGAAGCGGAAAGTGGGCTGAAACAGCCAACCGGACCTTGTGGCATTGCTTTGGTATCCGACCGAACGAAAAAGAACCAGCCGATATCCTCCCAAACTTTTCCGACTCGATCCATGTCGGGTAGTTAAAATTGCAGGCAACTCCCGCCTCCATTCCCAGCCTCCAACCGCCGTTGACTGAATAAATTTTTTGAAAAGATTATGAGTAATTTATGCAGAGGGGGGAGGGCGTTGCTTTCTCTTCTATTAATGTAATATTTTCTTTGAATGGGATTAATCCATTTTTAAAGCGGCGATTGGAACGCGGAATCTGTGTGTTTAATTTATAGGCAACTTTAAAATTAAAATAATTTGCTTGGGAAAGTAACAAAACAAATTTGAAAAAGGAAATTAAAAAAGAAAATAGTTAGTCGGAGATGACGTGGAAGCAGCTCATTCTCTCCAACCAACCATTATCCGGCTAAGAGGGTTGGTGGCAAAATATAGAGGTAGAAGAAATTGAGGGGTTGATTTTATTTGTGGTTGTTGTTAGGGATAAATATAGATTGGGTTTCGGTCAACTCGATCTGATCCGAAAATTTTATATTCTTCACACGGCTCGACCCGAAAAATACGTATCATCCATCCGACTTGAATTCAACCCGATTTTTATGATAAAATTCGAATCAGATCAAACCCGACTCGGAATAATAAAAATATTATTTTCATTTAATAAAAAATTGTGATTTAATTAAAAATAATAATATATAAAACAATATTATTGTAATTATTTCTAAGGTAAAATTAATTATTTTCAAGTCGAGTCAGGTATTTTTCTCCCTAAACCCGAATCCGACCCGACCGAACATCACCTTTAAAAAACACTCCCCAAACCTCTCTCAATTTCTTTTATAAAAAATCCGACCCGATTAGATTCGGGTCCTATGCTCATCCCTATTTGTTGCCACCTTTTCTATATATAAATAAACCTCCTTTTATGT